ATTTCTATAGTGTAGGTATTCCACCATGGTTGATTTCAAACTATCAAAATAACATTTCTGAATACACAGCTGGGAAGAGATATGCTATATTACACCATTATATAAGATGCTTATAATGTAGAACAGAACAGGAATAACTTTAAGAGCATAGAAAAACAGTAATTTAAAAGTGAAGTTTTGAGCATTTATCTTTGTTGTTAAAATAACTGTAATTTATAAACAATTTAGTTTTTAATAATGACCACAGTTAAAGACATACAAAATTCCTGAAAATTTAATAATCAGCTCTTGAGAGCTGGTACAGTGGGTTCAGCACAAGACTAAATTGCAAGGGAGTCCTTGCCTTAAAGTCTAGATTGCCCATTGTACTGGTTAATCAGGAAATGAGTGAAAAGAAACAAAGATAACTTTATTTTTGTTGTGGTGAACTGCTGATTTAAAAATTCTGTAAGACTCTCGTTTTCCAAACAAAGTTGTTTAAAAATTGTTTTTAAACACATCATTTCATTTGAAGCATATATATTTCCTGTGAGTTAGGTGGGGTATATCATTAACCTCCTTTGCAGATAGAAAAAAAATGAAAAGACTGGCCCAAGCTCATTCAAACAAGTAAATGGTAGAATGTGTTTCAAATGCAGTTTTTAATGTACAAAATTAAACGAGACTAGAGAAAATTTAACTAATACTGATACCAGCTTGTTTAAAAAATTGCAATAAATGTCCTTTGTAGCACTTTAGGGTCTGATATGACGTACTGTACTTATAAACCCTATTTCTAATTTGGCTTAAAACAAAACAAAAACCTGCATAATCTAATAAGTAAACTGTAAGAACCAAATTGAAAACATAGATTCTCAAACATGAGCTGAGAGGTTCCACTGAGAAATGGGGCAGATTGAAACACTCTCTACCAAAGGCACATGGGACAGAGAAAGATTATATCAGAAAAGGAAGAAAGCTAATGACATAATAGCGAGCCACAAATGCCACAAATGAAAAACAATGTACATAATCTTTGTTAAAATTATTCAGTTTGCTTGCTCTAATGCCAACAAACATTAAAAACATTAGGTTCCTCCTTATGGTAATATTTCATTTATCTGCTGGTATTTACCTCATCCTTGAAACAGATATTGATTAAATTAAGTTCTGCCAGTGTTAAGAATATAGACTTAACCAGGACTCTGATACAGCATTTCATACATATTGGGCACAAAATTGTCGCATTTTAGGTGGCTTCTGATTAAATCATTGAAAGCATCATGACAAACAGCAAAACGCCAGGAAAGCCAGTACCAATTTATCATTTCTCAGTTGATGTGGGAATGTTAATTCCAATTACAAAGAGAAGTAACAAAGTAGAATTTATTATGATTAAGAACTTGCTGTACTAGTGTGAATTGCTTGTAACAGGCATGTCTGTCGTAAAATGCATATACTGAAAAAGAGAGAGATGGGGCATCCCAGCTCAGCTGGGTTAGCCTGAACATCTTATCTTAAAAAGTGAAATAAGGGCCAGGGATTTAGCTCAGTGGTCCTGCTGCCTGCCTGGCAAACACAAGGCCCAGAGTTCGATCCCCAGTACCCACCCCCCCCAAAAAAGTTAAATAAGAATAGAAGTGTTTCCCAAAGCTATTATTTTAAAGAGGCATCTAATAGCTAGAATGATTGCAGGAATAACTGTTTTTAATGTAGGTTGTGCCAAACAGCAAAAGCTGTGTTGGCTTAATATAAAATTAACATACTCAAAATTACTAACACATACACACAAAATTATATTTTAATGTACATTTAACATCACAGCTTTAAGTAGAAAAATAAAATAAATTAAAACTGTAACCGTAACAAAAAAATCGTACAAACACTGTAGAAAAATGTCACAAAGATGTGTTCTTATGTAAGGGAAAATGTAGATGACAACAGTAGAGGTAGGAATGTGGTGTGCTATGTCGTTTTCTGAACAAGATCTTTTGTAACCAACACTAGTCTATTCATTTCAACTAAAGCAAGTTTTCCAGTCTCCCTGGAACACATATGATGGATGCCCAGGGTATGCTGAACCCACAGCCACCATTACTTACTGCTGCTGTCACCAACTGAGCGAGTACCCTCAGCTTGTGCTTTTTCCTTGAGCACATTTATGACACTTGAGCATGTTGTAGTAAATACTTAATTTCATTCAATGTTAAGTAAAGAATGAAATAAGAATTTAAAAAGAAATCATTGTAGTTCTACCAAATCTAAATAGAAAGATCCCATAGAAGTACTTGCAGTCAAATAAGGTGGATATGAGATAATTTTCAAAGACTGAAGTGAGGGCAGGCGGGAAGAATCATAAACATTTAGAAATATGCACTTATTTTATAAATAACTTTGATTTCTTGTTCCACTTTTAAAAAGAAACTGGGGAAAACAGTAACACTACAGATTAGTAATAATAATAATTGGTAATAATGATTGAACACTTAATTTATGTCCCAGAATATGTATTAGATATGTCTAAGTATTTCACATATCAAACTTGTTTCTAATGTGTACTATTTTCATTACCATTTTACACATTATGTAAATTAAGGCAAAGAGTTAGGGAACTTGCCCAAGATTATGTTTGCTCAAAGTGATGGAAACTGGATTTTTCCCAGCAGTCTGGCTTTTAACCACTGTGCTGTTCTAGTGCACTGTGGGTATAGTTTATACACAGAAGAAGTCATAGAACTCTATTCAGTGAACTCATGAAACCTTTAGACCTTCAGAAGATAAGCAAATAAATGTCCAAGTGATAAGTTTTAGGTTTCAAAAAGTTTAATGCATCCAAGTTATCATTTTTTATGATTCTCTGGCTTTAAATAACTTAAAAGTTTAATTGCCAGTCTAATTATATAACCTAGAAGGCGTCATCATCTATACAGGGGGGAGATGAAAGATGATGGTCTTAAATACCAGAGCAGAAGTTGGGACCTGCACATCACTGAATTACAACAATGTATTATATATTTGGACCAAGAGCATGGCATGATAATTGCTATTTTAAAGGGGTAATCTGGTAAAGTGGCTTGGGTTATTTTAATAGAAATAGAAATGATAAAACAGATGAGCAAAATGGGAGAACTCTTGGATATATAAAACTATATAAATATAAAAGATAATTCAGTTATTTTTCTGCCTTAAAGATTTGTTGGTTTTAGGCCACAGCCTCTCAGACTATATACATTCAATCAACAAACATCCACAGAGCTTCTACTTTGCACTAGAGATAACAGGGAAGAAGACAGACATAGTCCCTACATTTATGGGTTTATGTTCTAGTGGAGGATAAAGCAATATAACAAATGCGTGAACAAATAATGAACTATCACTGCTAAGCGCGCTACCAAAGTAAAGTACAAGATACTATAGGAACATATAATAATATAGTAATAAACTTAACTAGCTTTTTAAGGGGAGAGACACTCAGATTTTTAAACCTATGACAATAAAAATCAAGATCCTGAGTAGTATTTGTACATTTTTCATTAACTCATTTGGTCACCACAACAACCCACAGTGATATTATGCCCAGATGACTAGTTGATTGTTAGTATTATAACTCTAAAATATTTGCTGAGTCTATTATATATGGGGCTCTATTCTAGAAGTGGGACATGAAGTAATAAGTAATAAAGAAGCCTGAGACAATCAAAAACATTTCCCCTCAGGTGGGGAAATTTATCTTATTTCTTATCTTGTAGTGATGACTTTCCAGGATTACAGATAAGTAAATATCATTTTAAAGACTTAAGATATAGTGCATTAAGATGTTCAATAGTGCTTGCCAGACTAATAAGTGCTCAGTAGATGTTAATTATTCTTATATTTTAATAATTAATACTAAATCTCGTTTCCTTTCTGATACAACAAACTTCATTTCTTAAATTCTATAAGCACTTAAGTCTATCATGAGCTTGCTATATGCCTCACAGAAATTATGAGATCAGTGAGAAAAACTTCTTTAATAGTAATGAATTCCACCCTCAACACTAAGAGGCTACCAGATCTTGGATAAGCATCAACCTCTGTTAACCCTTAGTTTCCTCACACTGAAAAATCAAGCGGGTTGAGGAGTAAAGCTCAATGGTACAGCACTTGCTAGAACACAGGAGGCCCTGAGTGTGATCCATAGCACCAAGAAAAAAAAAAATCAAATACTTGTAATAATACTTATTGTCAGCAAAAGTGGACAGCAGAGGGGTGTCTAAATGTTAAGTATAAATCTTATTCTTCTGAAAACAGATATCTACAGTTAATCTACAGTTAACTAAGAAGTCTCATAAAATCATAATTTAAAAGCAAATTAGCTATCACTTAAAATTCAAATATGTACGAGAGATGAAGTGGATTCTTTTTCATATAGCAGAATTTCAACTATGAAATAGGCGTATGGTATGGGGAGTTCTACCAGATAACTACTATGGTCCCTTTACATATATACATGTATGTTTAAGTATATGCATACATATATAATTCCTAGTTCTCTTAAACAGGTGGACAAGGATATTTAATTTTAAAACATAAACTATCATAGGATTGGTTCTTGATTTTTTCACTGAAAAATTGTTAATTGGAGAATGAATCCATGAAAGTCATCTGATTCTAGTACTAAGGACTTGGAACCTGGACAAACTGTCAAGTGCCTACTTGACAGTTATCAGAGTAAATTCTCATGTAGGGTCCACTATGGGCATCGAAGGCCAAGGCCTCCATGTAGTTGACTTGTGCCTTCTACGGTTGCAGGAGGAGACTCTCTTGGATTGAATTGAGTTTCGTCAACACCTGGTTGCGCATGCTCTTCGTAAACATTCTTGTGGCAGAATGTTCTCCATTGGCACGGGTTTTCCTTCCCTTTTCAGAAGCAGACACAGTCTCTCTTCCTTTGCCAAGATGGCAGCCCTGGAATCCTCTGGGGGTGGCCCGCCCCCAATCTCAGAACAAAGTACCTAATTAAAGCCAATTTCTTTCCTTACATATCAGACTGCACATATGGCAGCGTTTCCCTTTGTGAACCATGGGAGGGCGATTTAGGCCGGTCGCAATTGAAAACTTTTGCCAAGATGGTGGCTGTGGAGCCCGGCTGGCATCATCGCTTTACCAAGATGGCGACGGACGGCTTCCGGCACGTGCTCCCCCACTGGGCTCCAAGATGTCAGAGCAGAGGCGGCCGCCGTGAGAGTCGGAGCGCGGCGGGAGGAGAGAGCGGCCGCACGCCGGCGCGGGCAGAGACTAAGTGGAGCTGCTGCAGCCCCTGCTCCTGTCAGAAGCTGCCAAGTGCTGTCACCTGTGGGGGCGCAAAAGTTACCTCCCACGCCCTGTAGCAACGCAGCACAACCTGTTCCCCAGTCGCAAACATCCCAACATGTGCCGCACAAGGTAGGAGGCCGGGTCCAGACGCCGCCGGAGCCTTCCCAATGCGGCGGGCTGGGCTGGGGCCTCGCGCGGACACACTCGCCCCCGTCCCTGGGCTGCGCTCTCCTCCTGGACGGGCCACGTGTTTCACGGGCGGAGGGGAGGGCGTAAAGGGACCCGCTCTGGGAGCGTGACGCCGGCGTCTACCGCTGCGCGCGTTCTGTTCTATTTAGAGGCAGGGGTCCCGCGGACGCGAAAGGGTGAAAGCCGCGCGGAGCCCGGGTCGGCAAATGTCAAGACGCGGGGAGGGGCCTGGGCTGGGAACTCGGAGGCGCGCCCCGGAGGGGGTGCAAGGAGAGGTCAGGAGTTTGGGCGGCTGGGCTGGGGGGAGGCGCGCTTCGCCAGCAACTTACTATTTCGTCTGCAACTCGCTTTGAGGCCCGCCACCCCCTACTTTCCTTAATCACAATTTTAAAAGTGCAAAGAAATCCAGCTCGCCGGAGGTTTTGCATTTGGCGTGCAACTTCCTCCAAGTGCGAGCGCGCAGGGAGGGTGGGGGTTGAACTTGGCAGGCGGCGCCTCCTTCTGCCGCCGCCGCCGCGAGCCTCGGGAGGGGGTCGGCCGGGCGCGAGCGGGCTCTGCTTCGCGACTTCTCTCCCGGCGCTCGGGGCCGCCCAGACGGTGCGGGGGCGGGGGACCTGCCGGCACGCGACTCCCGGGCGGAGTATGTAGGCGCCGACCCTCCGAACGGACCCTCCCGAGCCTCCCGTTCGGCCCGAGCGCGGCCGAGGCGCCGTGGCGGCGTTTCCGTGCCACCCCGCGGCCCCTTTGGAAGTGACACACTTCGCGCAACTAGGTCGGGGGCGGCGGCGCGGACCATCCCCGCGGCCCGCCCGCTGTCACCCGAGGGGTGCTGGCGGCGGGGGACCGGGTGAGCTCCGGAGCTGGGCGAGGGCGGAAAGGAGGCAGCGCTTAGAGAAACTAGAGAAACTCGGCTTCCCCCGCCCTGCCCCTGCAAGACCAGGGCTGCCGCGCCGCCTCGCTCTTTCCTGCGGCGGGCATGCGGGCGCTGTCCGGGCCCGGGTAGCGGGCGCCTTGCAGTGCCGGGCGTCGCCAACAGGTTGCACCGTTCCCCGCCGCCTGTGGCGGGGAGCGGCCGGGGGCGGAGTGGGAGCGAGTGTGTGTGCGAGTGTGTGCGCCGTGGCGCCGCCTCCGCCTGCCCCTGCCCCCTGCTCGGTCCCGCTCGCCTGCCGGGCCGGGCGGCCCTTTCGCGTGTCCGCGCTCCCTCCCCTCTTCCTCCTCCTCCATTTTGCTAGCGCGAGTCTGTGAAGGGAACCCGACTCGCCGCCCGCCCGTCGGGGACGGATTCTAGTGGGTGGAAGGAGACGCCGCTGCCGTAGCTTCGCTTCGGGACAGGGGCCGCGCGCTGGAGCCCAGAGCCCGGAGCCGCGAGCGGGCGGGGGGCGGCTTGTCAGCGGGAAAAGGTGACTTTCCGAAATAGGGGCTCTTCCCTCCTCCCTATGGAGAAGGGGGCGGCTGTTTACTTCCTTTTTTTAGAAAAAAAAATATTTTTCTCCTGCTCCTCCAGCTTTCACACGCTAACTTGTTTATCTCGGCTGCGGACGGCGGCGGGTGAGCGGTGCCCTGCCTGAGGTAAGGAGGGCTGGGTCGGTGCGCTGGCTCCCGGAGGGGTGGCGGGGACCGGCTTGGCTCGCCTCGGGGGCTGCGCGGGAGCTTGCAAACTTTTATCGGTCTCGGCGGTGGGGGTGGGGGCTGGCGAGGGCCGGGTGTCCGTGACGAAAGGGCAACGCGCGGGTGACAGCGCTGGCCTCTTCCTCTCCCTGCGCCGCCGTTCCGCGGCGAGGGGAGGAACCTGAGCTCTGACTGCTAGCAGAGCCTCCGCCGGCGAGCGGCTAGGGGTTTCTAGCCTCCGGATCCTCGGTAGGAGCCTGGTATCTTTGTTTTCCAAGTCTCCCTTTTCAGTTTCTTTCTAGGGGCCGCCCAGTCGCCCATTTTACGGTGAACTCCGAACCGCGTCGCCCCGATATTTCCTCTACCCTGGTGGGCCCGAGCGCACTCCGGGGATGTGTGGAGGCCCCTTCGAGCCACACTTCTGGCGGGCCTGCGGGTGTGTGTGTACACGCAGGGGGCCGACGGCTAGCAATTTGGAGACTTCGGCCCGGGCCAGCGATGTCTGGTAGAAGTGGGCGTGTCGGGGAGAACGCAACAGGTCCGGACACATTTCTCTTTGACACCCCCAGTCCCGTTCTTTTGCTGTGGTATCTTTGAGCCTTTTTCAAGGGGCCCCTTTTCCAAAAAAATAGACACTCTAACCGTAATAGTTTTGTACTGCGACTTTTGACAAGTGCTAGTTTGATGTTTGAGGTTGCGAGCTTGATAACTGCGACTTTGTAATACCACTTAAGACCCCTTGGCATGGTTCATTACGCCTGATTATTGGGACGGATTATATGCTGTTTAAATTGGGGGATAATGTCGCTTGTGGGAGCGTTTTCTTTTATGAAGCATTGTTGTGGTTTTGGGTTTGAAGACGGCTGTCAAAAAAGCAGGAGGAAATTCATTAGGCTCTATTTGATACCTTACCTTGTTTAGAGATCATTATCAGATAAACAGGGCAAGGGGCAGGGATCTAAGCCGTTTACCCTTAATACTCCCAGTGGCGGGTCCCCACCCGTTTCTCCTTCATCATACTCCCTTTTCAGGGAGGGCCACTGACGTTTATGCTTCTTAGCATTTCATACTAGAAAAGTTTCCTTTTATTGGGCGGGATTTGGACAATAATGTCCCAGATGTACTCTCAAAGTCTTGGCGCTTCTTAAAACACAATTATTGACTGTGTATTACAAACCTAATTCCTTTAGAATAGGCTCAGAATTTGGATAGGTGAAAATTTAGAATGTAAAGAAAATTATTATGAACATTGTATTGGATACTATTTTATTTAGACTTATATGATGTAATTTTACAGTTGTGGGCTTTTCTGTTTTTCAGTACTGAGATATTTGAAAAGGAAAAATTTAGAGGTAAAAATTAAGAGACATACTAGTAGTATTTCACATTGAAGGTCTTTTGTTGTGTTTTGTTTTGTGGGTACAGTACTGGGGATTGAACCCCGGACTTCACACTAAGCTACATCTCCATCCCTTCTTTACTTTTTAATTTGAGACAGGTTCTCACTAGATTGCCTGAGCTAGCCTCCAACTTGGAATCCTCATTCTTCAGCCTTGCCACTACACCTGGCTTGCACTGAGAGTCTTAAGCAATTTAAAAAATAAATGTTTAATTTATTAGTCTGAATTAAATCTAGACGTTATTGAGAACTATGGTAAGGGTCAAATATCTCGTCATATTCAGATAAGCTAAAATTGCACTGAGATGCTACTAGAACACTGTTCTGCTTTATGTAATGTAAACTTTAGGTGGCTTATATATACCATGTATCTCTCTTCATATACCCCAGATTTGGAGATAGGCACTGTCAGGCACATCCAGTAAGAAATGTGGGTTAAAAATAAGAGCTTTTCCTAGCCTATTAGAAGATAAACAAATCAGTATTGTTTATTTTCTAAATTAAGTGTACATGGTTCACTGGTATGTTGTATTGGGGTTAAATCTGTGACTGATAGTTGAATTTGGAAATAATTGGAGATTGAGAATTTTAGCACAGTATTTATCAAATATTTTATATATATATATGTATTGGTTCTCAGAAGCGTGAATAGCTTTGACTGAAAAGAGGAATTTTAGTGATCACACTTTTTTTGAAATTGAATACTTTGACACTAGCTTGAACCTTTAGAATAATCAGATGCAATGAATTATAATGTCTGTGATTAAAAAAGCAACATGTCCCTTCAATGAGTGGCAGGATGAATAGCAAAGCTTAGTTTTGATACAATTTTGTCCTCAGCTGTGCAGACGAACTGCATTGTACTTTTAAATGAGGCACACTGAATGGGAGCAAGGGATGTGGCTTTTTATTCTTGAAGATAGAAATTACTCTTCTGATAACAAAGAATTTGATTTGGAGTTAACTGAAAGGTTCATTTAACTGGCTGTTTGTTAACTAATTGGATCACAGATAATGTAACCTTACAGCTTATTATGTCTTCCCATCTTTTCTTTAGCTAATTTTTGCTGATGGACTCCAAAGAATCATTAACCCCACCTAGTAGAGAAGAAGTCCCCAGCAGTGCACTTGGTTCAGAGAGGCGGAATGTGATTGATTTCTATAAAACCCTAAGGGGAGGAGCTACTGTGAAGGTTTCTGCATCTTCTCCCTCACTGGCTGCTGCTTCTCAGTCAGATTCCAAGCAGCGAAGACTTTTGGTTGATTTTCCAAAAGGCTCAGGAAGCAATGCACAGCAGCCAGATCTGTCAAAAGCTGTTTCACTCTCAATGGGACTGTATATGGGAGAGACAGACACAAAAGTGATGGGAAATGACCTGGGATTCCCACAGCAGGGCCAAATCAGCCTTTCCTCTGGAGAAACAGACTTTCAGCTCCTGGAAGAAAGTATTGCAAACCTCAGTAGGTCGACTAGTATTCCAGAAAACTCCAAGAGTTCAGCATCTGCTGTGGCTGGAACCCCCACAGAGGAGTTTCCCAAAACTGAGTCTGATATATCTTCAGAACAGCAAAACCTAGAGGGTCAGACTGGCACCAATGGTGGCAATGTGAAGTCGTATCCCACAGACCAAAGCACCTTTGACATCTTGCAAGATTTGGAGTTTTCTTCTGGGTCACCAAGTAAAGAGACGAATGAGAGTCCTTGGAGATCTGACCTGTTGATGGACGAAAACTGTTTGCTTTCTCCTTTGGGAGGAGAGGACGATCCATTCCTTTTGGAAGGGAACTCGAATGAAGACTGCAAGCCTCTTATTTTACCGGACACTAAACCTAAAATTAAGGATAATGGAGATGTGATCTTATCAAGTCCCAACAGTGTACCACTGCCCCAAGTGAAAACAGAAAAAGAAGACTTCATTGAACTCTGCACCCCTGGGGTAATTAAGCAGGAGAAACTGGGCCCAGTTTATTGTCAGGCAAGCTTTTCTGGGGCAAATATAATAGGTAATAAAATGTCTGCCATTTCTATACATGGTGTGAGTACCTCTGGAGGACAGATGTACCACTATGACATGAATACAGCATCCCTTTCTCAGCAACAGGATCAGAAGCCTATTTTTAATGTCATTCCACCAATTCCTGTTGGTTCAGAAAATTGGAATAGGTGCCAAGGATCTGGAGATGACAACCTGAGTTCCTTGGGGACTGTGAACTTCCCTGGTCGATCAGTTTTTTCTAACGGCTTTTCAAGGTAAGATTAATGCTTTTTTATTTTGTAACAATGGTAGTTTAAACTAGTTTGATAGATTAAAAAGTCATCTATTTATGTGTCTTCTCCAAAGATTCATGCTCTTTTCCCATATGAATAAGTGGGCTTTTGAAAGTAGGCATGGTAGACAGTGTAAGTAATTTACCCCTGCATATCTACTTCAGGGTTTTTGTTGTTAAATGTGATATTCAGTATCCCATTGGCCAGTATTGAAAATTTTATTTCAAAACTTCAAAATAATATTGCTAAGTAACAAGTATCTTAAGGGAAAATTGTATAAATTCAGAGGAGTTAATGTCTGGTAATAACGCAATTATTGTGTGTATTGGTTGTTTTAGAATGTTGCTAAATTAAAATATACCCTTAATATAGACATAAAGAAAAAATTTGTAGCTATATTTTTTGTGAAGTGTTAACTTGAGATTAAAGGATTAAAAATTAAAAGTATTAATAATGACCCCTATTCAAATTGAACCTTAGTTGAAGAATTTCAGTTTAAAAATTGGTAAAGCACTGCATTATACAGTGTACCACGTCATAGTATTAGACATAGGTCTTGTTCCCAGCATTCCCAACCTGAAGTAGAGAAGTTGAGTTTGCTGGTCAGTCTCTAAAAAAGGAATTGGCGGCAGTTTGGTGCAGAACAAAATTTTACTTTCAGATGTTCCTGCAAGTTCTCAAGTAGATAACTGATGGCCAAAATTGTTAAGCTTCAGTTTTCAGCTGTCATTTGATTTCTCTTTTCTTTTTCCTGAGTCATTTATAAGTATACTGACATTTTTGTCTGGCCTTAAAAAGGTCCTTTAAAATGGAACTGTTAAAAAATAGTTCTAAATTTAGGTATACTGTATTGTTAGGGGTTAAATTCTGTAGTTTGTACCTCTAAACTCAAGTCAAATGGTAGATTGTATGTACATTCTAGGTGTGTAGGAAAATATAAAAATGTGGATTGCAGTGGCCAAGATTGATTAATCATTGTTTTTTTTAAGAAGGCATAGCAGACTTATTTGTACATAACCATTTCAAGTTTTTTCTTAAATGTTAGTGATGTCTGTTGTTCTATTAACTAGTCACTGAGCATTTTACTTAAAACTCTTAAATTATTTTTTCTGTGAAAGGTGTCTTAATGTTGACATACAAAGAGATGCCTCTTATGTAGGTAGCTTTTCTTATTAGGGAAAAAGTTTAGACTTAGATTTAGGTTATGTTCTGTTCTTGTAAAAAAAAAGCCTTGTTTCTTAAGAGAAAAAATATCTTGGTTCTTATGTGACTTAATGCAAGCTACCTAGTAGTAATGAATTATTTTAAAAGTACTTTTATTTAGAACACTATTTCAGTTTTTTAATTGTTTCTGAATTAAAGGTTTTAAATTTTTCCAATAAGGAGATTTGAGTTAGGTGCTGTTTCACATGTTCAAAGACATGCTGTGTTTTAAGTTTTCCAATCTCAAAATTTTCACAATGGATTTCATGTACTTGATTTTTCTAAGAGTAAGTACATTTGATTTTTAACTGTAGAAAACTATTAAATAGATTTGTAAAACGTTATACAAAGAAAAACAATATATTAAGGAAACTCTTTGTCGTGATAGGCATCGTAGTACTATTTTCATTTTGTTGTAAGGAAAAAAATTGGAACAAAGCAGTTTTCATTCACTGAATTTTCAGTAAACCTTATAAAATCTGGGATTGCAGAATAAATCTTAGATGAACATAGTTACCTTTAAATCATTAAATCATTAATAATGATTTAAATAATTTTACGGTACTTTATGACCTACAAATTGTCTTCATATACTTTTGAGCTTCATAACTTCATTACAGAGCTCTTTAGAAATTTCTTACTGGCCCATGAAATGATTATTTTTTTGCTGATAAGTGATTTGAAATTATTACTAGTTTGTTTTCTAACGAATAAGTTAACAATACCTCAATACAGGATAGTTTGATACTGTTTGCAAACACCATACATTATAGCCTTAATTAAGCACTATGATTACCCAGAACAAAGCTTCACCCAAATATACTGAAACAATGTTTCTTTTCTAACCATCATTGAATTAGTCTATTGTTTCCAAACAACAGCTTCAATAAAACTAAAATTGGTTGCTTTCTGTATATATTACATGACTTTAGCCAAGCATTAGCTCTGATCAGTAACCCTGAGTTATCAGCAATTAAACTAGTATGTTGAAAGGCAGCAACTTGATTGAATACTGACTTTGACTTTGGATATAAAAATATTAAATTCCTGTAATCATTTAGTTTTTAGTGTAAAAAAGTATAAATTATAATTTGACTTAAATTGTCATCTAAAATTGCTTTATTCAAAACACTTTAAAAAACTACTGTAGGCGATTCTTTTAGATATGTCAACACACCACATTAAGTTAGCATATTGTAAAAATATAAACAGCATGATTGAACGCAGAAACACATTGTCTTTTTAAGGGTTAAATTCATTGGTAGTAAAATAAGAGAAACCTTACTGATGCCCAAATCTATTCTTAAGTAAACTGAACTAGCTATTCCAACTTAATGTGCTTTTTTAAATACTAAAATTCAACAAGGTTAGCATAAATACCACATTGATGAAGGCACATTTCTGCATGATTTGATTTTCAACATTGTTTCCCCTCAACATTAATGGTGAAACTGCTGAAAAGAAACAGAAGTAAACAGTTTTAGGTGGAGTTAGAGCTTTTATACTGAGATAAAGTTGAATATTTAGTGCTAAAAAGTTGACTGTTTTCTGAAGGCTAGGATTATTAGAGAGAATGATGCTAGATGAACTTGTAAATTTAGTCTTAGGTTGAGTCTAGGGCTCTGGTTATTTGTACTTAATAAGAGTACTTATTTAGATAGATTTAGGTGTCTCATTAGTCATATCTGTTTTTAATTTCATAAAAGTAGTGAAATTGAAGACTTGTCCAAACACAGGAGAGTGAAGTAAATTCTGTCCCTTTCTCATTTTTCTTATAGAAAGGGAGGAAGCATAAAGGAAGGAGCAATTTTGTTTTGGCTATCATTTCCCCTCTTTTTGATGGATGGTTTTACTGCTTAATGTTTTCTTTTTCCTCTTCTTCCAAAGCTTCTTAGGTGTTTTCGTGACTTTTTTGTTTAGTATTTCTGATGTGATTTAATAAATCATAGGAGGTGATTTTATTTATTGTTAGCTTTATGATAAAATCTTTTTTAAAAGAATCTATACCTTCTTATGGCTGTATGTTTGATTCAAAATTTTAAGATCACACTGTATTCAGGTGTCTTAGTTTAGTGTGGAATGATTAATACAGAAATATATGATGAACATTTACTCAGATTTCATTGAAATTTTTGTGATGTTTGACTATTCCCTGTGTATTTTTATAACAGATAACACAATTTGTACTCATAATGCTGTTTTGTGTATTTGTGCTACAGATATTTTAATCTGACCACTTTCAATATATTATTGAATGTTTATTAATTTTAGGCCAAACGTGAAATACATCTTTGCATAAGTGTAGATTAAATATTAAATGCAAATTTTATTAGTAAAATTAACATGTGAATAGAGAACACTTCAGAGGCCTTTTGAGATTTTAATAGAGAGAGAGAGAGGGTTTATTTTATCATGAGTGCCTAATATGAAAGACAAAGTATCTGTGTTAATTGGTTAGTTGTCTTAATCTACCCTGACCTGCGGGTGATTGAAATACCATAGTTACATTAAGAAATCTTCATTTACATTGCATTTAGAATAGGTCTGAGGCACGGTTCTTAAAACAAGTATTTTTTCTGGCTTTAATGATTATATCTACTTTAAAATTAGTAGCATATTCATATTATATCTTATGTGAGCAAATTAAAAAGGCAAAATAGGTTTGTATTGAATAGCATTTACCCTTATGAAGTCATCCTGGTAAGGCTTTCATCAAAAATAATGGTGTACTGTAATATTTATAGGTTTTTGCTAAGTTAATGGGCGCTTGCTTCCATATTTCTGAGTCATGCCCAATACATATATATTGGTGAATCCTGTTGCATAAAGTTTTCAAGAAATATTCTGAGTTAAGCTGTAACTGGAAAAAAAATTACTTACTGACCTTATTGAACAGAGGGTTTAAAAGCCTATGCATTCTTTATTTCTATAGCTTTAGAGAGCCAACTACTTTCATCTTCTTGTGGAATAGTCTACCTGGGTTTTGTATTTTTCAAGTAAATAAAAATATTCTTAAAGAGAACTTTGATTTTAACAAAGCCCCATTAAAGGCAGGGGTGGAATGCCTCACCTGTAATCCCAGCATTTAGGAGGCAGAGGCAGGATTGCTGAGAGTTCAAGGCCAACATGGACTCCTGAGCAAGGCCTTACCTCAAAAAAAAACAAATGAAGAAAAGAAAAAAGGTCCATTAAGTGTTCCTTTCCCCTTTGAATTGCTTGTGGTTGCTTCTTCTATGCTAAACTAGGTGTGACTTGTAATGGTGATATTTTTTTGGGGGGGGGGGGGGAATCTAACTCAGAACCTTGCTCTTGGCTTGTGAGGCAGGTGCAGTGCCACTGAGCTAAATCTCTGACCCTGTGATGATTCTTTTTTCATTTTACATATTAAAAAAAATTTTTAGAACATTTCAATATTAGTTATAGACAGTGGTTTCACCCTCCAGTGGGTAAGGGGCAAAGAGAGTTGTGGAATGGTGAAGATACATTTAAAAATACCAAAAATAGTTCAAAAACCAACAGTTTGGATCATGTGTATGAATTCAGAGATTTAAGAGAAATTTGTCACTGCTTCTAACTGGGGATTACAATTGTCTCTTTAATTTGAGGTAGAAATCTAAAACTGATTTTAGTATTATGAACCTGTTTTTACATTGTTGTCTCTAGATATGTTTTATCACCAAAATGAAGGAGTGAGCATTTTACTTCCTTTTAGCTTATTTCTGCTAAAATCTAGTCCGTATTTGCCCCATTTTTATTTTGGCTGCTATTTAATAAATGAAAATCCAGCGACTTGAATGCAGTTAAAATAGTGATGTCTTATTTGATATGAACATTTCATATTTCATAGTGCAGTTTTACAAATTTTTTTTTTTTTTGGTACCGGGGATCGAATTTGGGTCCTTGTGCAGCAGGCGACGAAACCACTGAGCTAAATCCCCGGCCCAACAAATATTAATTTACTATGCAGTACAACACTTCAGTAATGTATTTCCACGTGTTATGTATTCTCCAAAAGTATTGAAGAAATTAAATTCTTAATTGATGGTAAGTAGGCAGAATACACTACGGGCTTCTGCAAGTGCTAGACACTCATTTAAACTTTACTGCAGTACAGTCCTTAAAGTCAGTTATTTTGAATGAAGCTATGTCATTCCTTAATTTTATCTCAGGCCGGTTTAAATATTAATAGCTTGTCTTGATAGAGCTGCATGCTTAAGCATACTTGTTCATAGTAACTCAACTATTAATTTTGACTGCCGTAAATTGCTTTTTCTTTTTAGCAGGCTTCAATAATATTAACATTTCTTAGAGCACAACAAACTTAGAGAAAGTACTTCTTTTTTTTAGAATATTTTTTTCTATTCACACTGTAGGGCACAAAAATATATATAAGCAGAGAAAAAGGTTTAATAGTATAGTTATAGTTGGTTACATATTGTTTCACCTTAAATTTTAAATTTTGTAACTAATAATTTAAAGTTCAACTTAAGTGTACAGTGTTTAAGACTTTTTTTGCACTAAATGTTAACTTTTATTTATTTTTATAATAAATTAGCCTTTATTCTAGTTGATTTCATAATTTTTCATAATATTTAGCCTGGGCTATTATGAAAGTATATGTGATAGCCAAATTTTGAAAGCTATTGTGAAATGACATTCAATTTACATGATTTATTATTTCATGCTGGTTGGTGCAGTGCTGTGACTTCTGACCTTATGACTGTCACATGTTGAACATTAAAGCTCTACCAGCTTGTTAGGTACAGTTTTATGTTGTTTTAATGTTTTGTTTTGTAATTATTGGTGATAAGAGTTTCATTAATTTTAAGATGCAGGATTTGGTGATCCCCATACTTTTCAAACAAATTTTGATTTAGATATTCAGTAACAGAAATTTAGTTCACTGTTGTTCTACTACAGTGAACTAAAAATGAAAAGACCCAGGGTCTAAAGCTGAGCTGAGCCAGTCCATGACCTTTGGCAGTAAGGTGTTTTGGGGTTAGAAATATTTCTTTACAACTCTGTCGAACTGTTTTCAAAACATGTGCATGTGTTTATCTAAAATTTGACAGTCTTATTAACCTATTAATGTGGTGAGGAAGTAGTTGGGGTATACTAAAGTTGGTTTTCTGACATTTTCTTTTTACACTATTAAGTACAAGACAAAAAATGAACTCAAATTTGGAATTTTATAAGGATTTGAAGTAATACAGTTGGTGGCATATAAGAAATCAAATGTAAATATTGCTGTTGTTAGCACCCAAGAAATGGAGCTTTGGGGTTCTCAGAACTTGTTTGTGTGTTCTGGTGAGAAAGATGATTTAAGATTACAGTTTAAAATGAGAGCTTATTTTTCCCCACCCCCACATTTTTTCAGATGCAAAATCAGACCCATAGAAAGTAGTTAGGGAAAGAATACAAAATTAATAAGTGGTATGGGAGAGTTGAATAATTCAGTGCTCAGCATCTAAACTCCCTGCCAGGCTTTTAACTTCTAAGTCTGTTCTAGAAATCTGAAAATAAATAGTTGATTGAAATAATATTGACTAGCTCAGGTTTTCTACAAAGATACTTTGGCTGCTTTAGATTTTTAAATACATGGTGTCTGTATTTCCTATACGTTTTGTTGACCATTCCCCTCATTAATGATTGAACATTATGTGGCAGCACTATGCTAAGCACTTTTCATGCATTCATCTCACTTCAGTCTATTAACACAACATTATACAGAGATATGATCAAGCTTTGATCTTCAGGTATTTGTGGAGTCCATTGTTTTTTGCCCCAGTTTCAACTTCTGTGAAATTGAGTACCCAGCATTTTTGCCTGATAGAATTTTTGAATGGTGTTTATTTTGAATATTAAAGGGAATTTTTAAAATGCAAGGTAGAATGTCTAAAGCTCTGTGAAATCCCACTCATATCAAACTCGCACGACTATACTGGCTAAGTAGTTATGCTGTCAGTGTCTGTGGTGTAGATATTTCCTATCCTCAAGCACTAGGAATATTATTTTTCCTTTTTAGTTTTGCTATGTGCAGTCCCCAAAGAGTCATGAACACATTTCATGAGGACTTGGGGTTGAAAAACTTGAGTAAAACAAATTTGATGGATTAAACTAAATGTCTTTTATATATACAAATATATATACAAATATATAAAAGAGCAAGTATAGAAACAAGTTAAATGGCAGCTTAGATTGGTAAACTTACCAATGTAAAACATAAGTTTGTAGACAGAAACTTTAAAAATTTCAATTAGAATATTATGTGAAATTTGTCATCTGGAATCCAGCTGGGTTTATTGAGGACAAAGAATGACTATAAAATAGATTGCTTTTTTATGGAAAAAAAAAGAAAACCCAAAATGAATGTTGTATTTCTAAGCCTTGAGAAGCTGTTTCTTTTGAAACTGCCTTCAGAGACAACTTGTAAGCCAAGAAAATTGAACTCACTACAATACAGAAAAACCTAAATGTTCTTTTTTTAATCAGAAAATTTATTCTGTGCCTTGACCTTATTTCTGAGACTCCACGAGTCAAATATTTCTAGAAATTTAGAAATTTAATACTCTCTCAAATGATACTGCTTTTATTGAGATAATTTAAAACAACCCATGTAGGTATTTCTACAGATGTTTAATCCTATTTAATCCTACTTTAAATATGCCTGGAATAAATGCATAGCCACCGCTGGCGACTACTCTTAAACTGGAGGATTCTTAGTGGTTAAATTCTGATTTGTGTTTTCTTTATCAAGAAACATATGCACAGCTTATACTCCCTTTTCTGGACACAGTACGGAAAAAATAGTAATTACATACCTCCTAAGCCTGACACCCCACCCCCACCCCTCCAAGTGTTGGTATTGAAGAAAGGTGGGCCTACCGTTGACTTCAGGGGAATTTGGTGATGGCAGATACAAAGTAAATATGTGAATTTCTATAACAATCTTTAAAGCAGTTTAATTTCCCATTTCAGTACCTTCATGTTTGACACTCATTATGGCCATAATAATTCATGTATACTGAAATTTTCTTGTGGCACTGGGAATTGAACCTAGGACCTTCGCACATGGCTCCATCTCCAGCCCTTAAAAACATTTTTTTTTCTTATTTTAAGACAAAATTTTGCTTAGTAGCTAAGTTGCCTGGGCTAGGCTCAAACTCTCGAACCTCCTGCCTTAGCCTCCTAGTAATGGGAATTATAGATATGTGTTATCGAGCTTGGTTCATAACAAAGTTTAACAGAAAGTTGTAACTACAAATAAAATTTATGTATTTTCTTTTAGTCCTAATAGGCTGAAAAGAGATTTTTTGCTTTTATTGACAGTACTTTTAAATATTAAGAATTTAACTTTTTAGTGCTATTTTCTAATTTATTTTTCTATATATTATTCACAAATGCTAGGATTAGAGTAGATCTTGGCCTACAAATTCATGAAGATATATGCAGTGCCTTTGAAAATAGGATATTACTTTTATAACCATTCTATTAGTGCTAAAATTATTTGAGAACTTGTTTGAAAATAGCCTGTTTAAGAACTTTGTTTTTTTTGTAGTAAAAGCAGCTTATTTTCTCAAATAGTTACTCTCCTCAAAAGATGACTTACAAGTTTCAGTAGCCAAGAAAAGAAGATTGAAAAGCCTTTAGAGAATGGCAGATGTGCTTTACTGCTAACTTGGGTTTTACCTTTTAAACTGTCTTAATAGCCTTGACTCTTCTAGTTTTGTTCTATAGTAAGGAGAACTAACTGACTGGCAGATTTTCCTGTTAGGTGGCAAATGCTTCTTAGTACTAAACACATCATGAAACTGGTGTTAGTGTAGTCTATGGGTACTAAATTTTTAAGAAGAAATATTTTTAAAGGAGAGGTAAGGAAAATTAATGAAATCATTTCTAATTCAGTATATTAATGATGAATGATAAATGTTATTTAACAACTATATACAGTGCTTTAGCAGTACCACAGACATTTTAAAAAGAAAACACATATTAGGAAAACAAGGAAAAGTTAGACACCTATAAAATGAAAAATTCTAAATTTCTGTTCATTAACTGGCCAAATTTGATTTGTGTATCCCTAAATACTTCTGTATGGATACAAGGAAATACAGTATATAAGTAGTCTAGCTACATTATTATGTTAATAAGTGGAAGAGTGACAAAGACATATTCTAGGAAAAGAATTCTTAAGATGGGTGGAGTGGGAATTTAACTAGATGGTCTCAAAGGCCCTTCCAATTGTAATTTAAGCAGCAAACACATATTGAGCTAGACGCTGGGTATACTGAGATGAAAAAGATAAAAATCTCCACTCTCACAGAGAACAATCTGGTGATTATCATACTCCCTCCCCAGTTCGCTTTTTGAATGTGTACTGAAAGGATTTCAAGCTCCTTCCTGAAGAGGCATAACTGTTGGAGGGAAGTGTAGGGATGAATGAGAAATGAGAATTGATTCAGCCATTTGGAATAAGAAAAGGAGTAACAAGGAGTTTTGGACAGGAAGGAGAGATAGAAATTTGAAAGTAATACATGCATACTGTTAGGCTAAACACTGTTCAGTACAAAAGAACAAAATTTTCAGTGTTATCTCAGGTTGTGCACCCTAGGTGTGTGAGATTCTTCTGCCTACTTAAAGACTATCTCTTTGTTCTCGAGGAGAACTACAGTTCTCTTTCTAACAAAGTCCCACAGTGCATTAGCCAAAACTGAGGTAGTTTACTTGGAATGTTTTTCCCAGATATTCTCATAGTTCGCTCTCACTTTATTTATGTCTCCACTTAAATGCTAACTCGATAAGAGAGACTCCTGACTGCTTTATATAAAATGATAGCATCTTTCACACAGTATTCCCTAACCCTTGACATATATCTAATTGTATGTCTTCTCTGCTTCCCTGCTGTAATGTCTACTCCAAGGGAGCAGTGATGTCTTCTCCCTTGCTTGCTCCTGTTTCCCAGGATCTAGAAGAATGTGTAGCACATAGTAAAACCTCAATAAAAGTATGTTGACTAATGAGTAAGCAAAACTTGACATATAAGTCAAGATATGTTGGAATGGATGATACCTCTAACCTCTACAGAGAAAGGAAAGTGTCAGTAGATAGTATCAGTAAGGTCTGTAGCCTACCTTCCCCAGATAGGAAAACAGTCTTAAAACTGATAATGTTTTATGTATATGGACAGAAAGTATACATACACTATATTTTCATTTGTCATCAGTCTCTAAATTTGCTTTAAGACTTTGAAACAGAATGCATTTCACAGTTGCTTACAAGAACTCTGGTACATTTATCATTGAACAAATTAAGGGAGCCAGAGCTTGGAAATGGTGGGTTTGAGGGGTTTTTGTTTGGTTTTTTAAAATCTTGCTCAAAATTGTAACTTGTAGTAATTTTTCACTATAGAATCTTTTATACCAGAAGCTTTCTTCATGTTTGCTGTTTGTATAATTAAAATTACATTCTAGCAGATAAGGCTAATGTGTACAATTGCAATGACTTACCTAGAAAGTCAGGCAAGAGATTGATTTGCCTGTTTAGTGTGCATGTAATTACTGAATACTTCAGAAGAAGAGTGTCTTACTTTTCCCTGAATTTCTTAATTATCTTTTTTTAGCTTATTTATGTTTTAGATTTGACTTACTCTGCCTGTAGTCTATAGAAGGCCAGTGGGGTAAGTTTATCTCTTCTAAGAGTTGTAGGTGAGTACTTAAAACTAATATGGCAAGGACAGTCATAGAAAAGATAAAATGCAAGGAAGTAGATATGGCCTGCAGCAAATCAGATGAGGTAATTTAAGAATGTACTCCTCTAGAGTTCAGGGAAAAAAGAGAGGACCAAGGACAGGGCTCTGGAAAGCATCCAAAGAGAGCAACCACAAAAGATACTGAATGAATAACTGGAGAATTAGAAGGCAACAGTCTTAAAATGGGGCCAGGAGAGAGTAGTTCATGCTGTCACATCAACTTGGGTAGAAGAAATTGAACAGAATATCATAAATACCTGAGTTATTGTTGCTGAACCCAATCCTTAAAACATGTAAACATCTTGGCCGGGGATTTAGCTCAGTGGTTCTGCCACCTGCTTTGCAACCACAAAGTCCTGAGTTCGATACCTGGTACCAAAAAAAAAAAACCCATGTAAACATTCTCAAAAGTCAAAGCCAGAGAAATGAAATTCTAATATAACCAGTTATTTATAATTTTTAAAAACCTAAAGTTGAAATTCAGCTTAAAATATTGATATAGATAAGAAATACATTTCCAAGACCACAAAGAATCTGATACTGGATTTGTAGTGAGGGACAAAGGCTAGAAGTCAGGAGGGAATTAAATTTCTCTTCCTGGAGAAGCCATTACAACAGGAAAAAAATGACCACAGCCTAGCTCAAACTCTTATTGTTCTTATCAGTAGTCTTCTAATTGTTTTCTTAGTTTTCTCCTCTCCTTTCATAGTCCATTTGCAGTATCCTAGAATAGTGCTTCCAATATTATTTCCCTAATCAAAAAGGATGGCTGTGGTTCTGCTGCTCATAGTATGGTGAATCTCCATTTTCTTTCTCCCACACCCCCTGTGCCAGAAGATACATGCAGGTAGTCATATGAACTCTCTATAGCCCTAAGAGGATTTGGGTTGTGCATAATTTCGTGCAACCCTCCCTTGGTCTCTTATCCAAGAAAGCATATCTCAGTGCAAATGAACATTATATGAACAGTCTGTGATTTGAGTCTTTTAAAATGTATTATTTTTACAAATTCCTCTTCAGTTTCCTCCACTAAATTATACCAGAAGTAGTTAATAAACTTATTCCCATTGCTTCTCCATTCCTCTTTTTCTCCTCTTTCTTTTCCTCCGCGTTTCACTGTAGTTGCATAAACATAAGTAGATACATACAAAGCATTCTGGCTTGTCTACTTTTAAATCAAAATGGGGTCATCTTATACCCACTTCTCTGTAGCTTGCTTTTCTTACTTAACAAGTACAGCCTGAATATCCTTCCAGATCCACAGATATGGATCCTGTTTTTTGAATAGTTGTATAGTATAGAAATAGGAATTTGTGTTGTTTCATGATTTTTGCCACTGCAGACATGGCTCTAATCCATACCCTTTTCTATACACCCTTACACACTTACTTCTTTTTTTCTTTTTCCCCTTTTTTTTTTTTTTTTGGTACAAGGATCGAACTCGGCACCTTGCTCTTACAAGGCTCACATACTTATTTCTAAGCATAGATTCCCTGAAGTAGGGTTGCTGATCAAGGGTATATGTATTTAAGTTTTAATAGATATTTCCAACTTTTCATAAGGATTAGCAAATCAGTCTCACCAGGCAGAGTTTAATACCTTTCTTTACAATAAAAATACATAATCCATTATTACTAATTAATTCCTTGATCACAACATGTCATTGTACCATGTGACATAACTGAAAACTCTAGCAGTGTGGAATCCAGGCTCTATCTCTCTTAACATTATATAGCCATCTAGACCAGCTGAATGTCAATTTATACATTTTCCTTTATGTTACCCAACTTCTAGCATCCTTTCTCTCATCTGATGGTATCCTGGGGCAAATACCTGACCAGGTAGTTCTTTATTCCTGACTCCGTGATTAGCAATGTAGTAGGTATCCAGTAGATGTCTACTGAATTAATAGTTTATATATAAAATACATAGATATTTCATTTATAAGTATAAATATGTTTAAATATTTTATATATAAACATTATAAATAACATGAGATGTAGCTGTGAGGGTTTTTTTTTCTTTTGTTTGCATTACTGGGGATTGTACTCGGGGCCTTTGCACTGAGCCAGTTTTTAATTTTTGTTTTGAGACCAGGGCCTCACTAAATTGCCCAGGCTGGGCTCTAACTTGTGATCCTCCTACCTTAGCCTCTCAAGTATCTGGGACTATAGGCAAGAGCAGCTATGCCCCGCTTTGTTCTCTTTGTATATTTCTGATTTATCTTTTAAAGTAAATCCAGTTTTAAGGACAATGAACATTTTCACTATAATGTTAGTCTAGTACTTAAGGCACTCAATTTAAGTTGGCTCTTTGAACAGAGAACTACTATGGAGAGGAGGACGCAAATAGCCTGGCTTTGCCTTTAATACATATGTTTTATTCCTTTTAGGGAAAACTGGAACTGTAAGTATCCAGAAACAACAGTAAGAATAGCATTTGGATTGTGTAGGTATTGTATACAAGGTACAATTCAGGCACCAAAGGATTCAGCAATTAACAAGACCGGTGTTGTCTCTCTGCCTTTGTGGAGCTTATGGTTTGTCTTAGATATATTTAGAACATCCATTTTTGAAAAATGGTATCCAGTTTCAGTCTCTCTTACCGAGGCTATGGAATATTTATCTGTTCGTTCAACATTTACCTAGTGCATACTCTGCCAGGAACTACAGAGAAAGTCCAAGGGCACCAGACCTTTGCTGGGAGGTGGCAAACTGATCAAAGGTGAGTGCTTGTGGGCAATAGGCTTACTTCTCAAAGTAGCCTCACTGTTTCTGTATATTCATGCAGAAGGAAAGGAGTAGATACAATGATTAACATTACTGTCTATCCCAGGGACATTACTTTCTAGGGGCAGGTGTCAGAGTATCCTGTAACAAACCACTAAGGAATAAGCACCATCATTGTCATAGCATCACAGAATTCCAACCAAAGCTGTTCTTAATATCTAATCCTAACTTTTCATAAGGAAGTAAGGCACAGTAAAATTGGTCTTAGATTTTGAATAAAAATTAGGACTCTGCCGTCAGATTTCCTGAATGTGAATCTGAGTGTTTAACATCTGTGTGAACATGACCAAACTTAGAACCCTATGAACCCTCAATTTCTTCACTTTTAAAATTTAAAATTTAAAATTTAAAATGTAGATGTACCTGTAAACTATGCAATGTGGTGTCTGGTACTTATAAAACATTCATGAAATGTTAGCTCGTATTTTAAGTGACTTGGCTTCAGGTTAGATGATTCCTTAATGCTCAAGTTACCTGCTTGAGAATTATGTTCATTGTGCCATACCATCCTATTCATAAGTCTTTTTCATTAATTGATGGTTCTCAAACTGGCTTTGTTATGATTTTAACTTTTTAAACTAAGTAATTATAGTTAGGTAATTATATCTTCATAGTAACTGTAACTTTAACCATCACATTGATGTTTTGGCTATAATTTTGAAGAGGAACTGAAAAATACATATGTGATAAATGTTTTGTTAAAACGAATGCTTCCCATCTGTCTTGTTTCATTATACACCCCCAGGTACCCTATCACTTAAGTTTCTCTACTCAATCACTCATCAGCAACTTGAACCTCTTGAATTTGAGGTTAAGGTTAAGTTAGAATAACTGAAGAAGAGCAGACCTTTCCTATCTTGACAAACTTTTGGGGTATTAAAAATAAGTCGAGGGCCGGGGATTTAGCTCATTGGTTCCACTGCCTGCCTTGCAAGCGCAAGGTCCTGAGCTCAATCCCCATTACCAGAAAAAAGTTCACTGTTCCTGCTATGTCTCTTTGAAAGTTTTATTTTAATACTAAGATTCTACTTCATCAAAGGTTTTGGTGTTGCTGCTGTTGTTATTTTGTAATTCGAGATACTCAGGAGCCTGAGGGAAGAGGATCACACATTTGAGGCCAGCCTAGCATATGCGAGGCCCTGGGTTCAATTCCCAGTACTACCAAACTAAAGAAAAGGGAGGGGATCATTCTCTGCAATTCAGTATGAATTAAATCACCAAATTAAAAAGACTTTGCTTTCTCTTTTATTAGTATATGTTTGCAATACATAATGATTGATTCATTTTAGAGAATTGGTACATATACATATCACATCTTGATCATTTTTACTCTTCCAGCAAAAACCCTTGCCCCACCTTCCTCTCTCCTTCCTTACCCAGTTCCCCTTCTCATCTCCTCAGAGTCTACCTCCCTGTTTTCTACAGTCTGTCTTTTATTTTGTTTATATTTTCGATCTCAGAGAAACCATATGATATTTAACCTTCTATATCTCTGAGCATTGTGGACTCAAGGTGTACCATATACAGTTGAATCAAAATTATCCTTCTTTATGGTTGAGCAGTACTCCATTGTGTGTATATATATACATATATATATATACACACATATATATATATACACACACACACACACATATATATATATATATATATATATATATATATATATACACACACTACATTTTCTTCACCTGTTGATGGACATACAGGTCACTTCCAAGACTTAGCTATTAAAAGTTGTGCTGCTGTAAACATGGTATGCATGTGTCACTGAAATGTTATGTCTTTAACTCCTCTAAGAAGTCACCCAGAAGACGTATAACTGGGTCAAATGAAATTACTACCTTTAGTTTTCTGAGGAATCTCTATACTGATTTCCACTGTAGTTGTACTAGTTTACATTTCCACCAACAATGTGGAAGGATTTCTTTTTCCCCATAACCTTGCCAGCATTTGTTGTTGTTTTGAGTCCTTCATAATAACCATTCTTACTAGATTAAGGTGGAATCTTAGAATCTTAATGTTTTGATTTGTATTTCTCTAATGACCAAAGATACTGAACAGTTTTTCATGTCCTTTTGGCCATTTGTACATTTTAGACATGCCTATTCATTTCAGTTTCCCAATTTTTAATTACATCTTTTATTTTTGATGATCCAATTTTTTTGAGTACTTTATACATGCATTCTAGATACCAATCTTCTGTCTGAGGAGTAGCTAGAAGTTTTTTTCTCATTCTGTAGGTTTTCTATTCACTCTGTTGGTTGTTTCCCTTGCTGTGCAGAAGCTCTTTAATTTGAGATAATCTCATTTGATTTTTCATATTTTATCTTGTTCTGTTCAAGAAGTCCTTGCCTATGCCTGTTATCTTCAAGGGGTTATCATTTTTTTTCCCAGCAGACTCAATGCTTCTGTTTTTATATTTAGGTCTTTGATCCATTTTAATTTTATTTTACTAGAGTGAGATAAGGATCTAGATTCATTCTTCTGCCCAGGGATAACCAGTTTTCTCAGCACCATTTGCTAAAGAGGCTATCTTTTATCCTGGGTATGTTACTGCTTCCTTTGTTAAAGATCAGA